ATCAATCTATCCTGAGGCAAAATTCCTCTCCACCTGTGGACCTGTACAACTGGAAGTTCTCGGCTCCCAAAATACCAGGGACTGCTACAGGACAACAGAGATAAGCATTCCTGTTCAAAAAGAGGGAAATGCAAGGGAGAACCACTGGTCCCATGCAAATCTGAAATCCAGACAGGCAAATAGGGAAAGGGTTCAAGGCCTGGGCAGGACTCTCTACAGTCCGGAGCTCCACCCTCGGGGCCGAAACTCTGCCCTGAGCCACCCTTCCTGTTCATAAAGGACAGCATGTGGAATCTGGGGCTCAAACAGCCCCCTTTCCCTCATCCTCTCTCTGAAGCTTTTAGTCCAACGGGCAGTGCTACTGCTGGTAGAGATTCCCCAGAGCCTGCGGGACTACCGTGCGTGCACAGACACTCCCTCCATTAGACAAGAGGCTGCTCCAGAGACCTTGCCGAGACCATCCTGCCTCTATTTTCGGCTTCTGCTTAGAAACTGAGGGAATCTATGAGTCACACCCTTGACTTCTTCAGAGCGTTTTGTGTGAGCGAAGACTGACCTTTGAATCTTTCCGAGGTTTTAGGAAAAGGCTATGGAGTAACTCCTTTGACTTTTTCCTCTAGAGCACGTTTTCCCACTGAGTCTCTTGACTTTTAGCATCCTTTGCCATTTTGGTAGGCTGAGATTTCCAAAATCAAGAACTCCTGGTTCCTTTCTCTTTTTTTAGGTATAACTGACATATAACATTATATTAGTTTCAGGTTTACAGTAAAACCTCGCTATAACAGACTAATTCAGGCAAAGAGGTGTCCATCAAAGCCAAGAAAGTCTGTTACATAACAAAGTAGGTTTTCCAAATGTGTATGTTAAAAAAATCGAAAAATTAGTTAGTTGACCTGTTTTTACTTATGTAGACACGTTTGTGTAATTAAAATTAAGTATGTGTGAAAAGTTTAATTTCACAGAAAAGTTTTCTATATGTATCACTAATTTTAAATTTATACCGAATAGGTCACCCCGAGGAAACAACTGCACACGGCTGGGGGTGGCTTCGTGCACGTGGGAACACTGGCGGCAGGTGTTAAAACTGCAGGAGAAAGCNACTGGCGGCAGGTGTTAAAACTGCAGCAGAAAGCCGGCCACGCGACAGTAGAACCAATTAACGTGCACAATGCGGTGTCATCACGTGCTACTCATTCCCTGAACACTGTTTACGAGGCTCTTGGATTTAAATATGTAGACTATAGTTGTAGATATGTAATATTTAATTATGTAGGTGAAATGACAGTGTTTTTTCCAACATATGGCCTATTCTCTAAAATTTGTTAAAAATAACAGTGAATTAATAACAAAAAATAACCTGTTAATTATAAGCAAATCTTAGTTAAAAGCATTTTAAAATTAACAAGGTGGCCCTAGCGAGTGTGGTTAAGTAGTTAGAGCATCAGCCCAAGCACTGAAGGATCACGGGTTCGATTCACAACCAAGGGCATATACCTGGGTTCCATGTAGGCTTTTTCTATCAGGAGGCAACCAATTGATGTGTCTCTCTCACACCCATGTTCCCTTCTCTCTCTCTCCCTCTCCCCTTCCCTCCCTCTCCCCTTCTCTCCCTCCCTTCCACTCTCTAAAAATCAATGGAAAAAATATCCTCAGGTGAGGATTAACAAAACGAAACAAAACAAAAAATTAACGGGTGTTGATTTTCACATATGTGAAAGTTTGTCCATTAAACCCAAAGTCTATTAAATCGAGGTCCGCAAAATCGAGGGTTAACTGTACAACAAAATGATTTGATTTTTGTAAAGAACTCCTGGTTCTTGTTTAACAGGTCTCTCTTCAATTTACTTCTCTACTCTGAAATGTACTATAAGTCACAAAAAGAAACTAGGCTGCACCTCAACACTCTGGAAATCTCAGTAAAATACCCAAATTCACTGCTGAGAAGTCCTGCTTGCCACATAACTGCAGGACACAATTCCGCTAAACTTCCTGTCACTATATAACAAGGATCCCCTTTCCTCCAGTTCCTAGCATCTTCCTCCTCATTTTCTTCTGAGTTTTCACCAGCAACGCCTTTTAGGCCCATATTTATACCAACAGTCTGTTCACAAGGATTTGCATATTCTCTAAGGTGATAAATGTTTTCTCTATCCTGCTCCTCACTTCTTTCTCAGTCTAGCAGAGTCACTGACAACCACATTTCTAACAGTGTTCAAGTCAATGCAGGCTTTTTCTATCATGCTCCTCAAAATTCTTCCAGCAGCTGCTCACTGCTCAATTCCAAAGCCATTTCTACATTTTTAGATATTTGTTACAGCAGCATCCACTTCCAGGTACCAAAATCTCTATTAGTTTTCTTATTTTTCTAGCTTTGAGGATCTAATTAACATATAACATTGTGTATGTTTACGGTACGCAACATATTGACTTGATACACTTCTATACTGCAAAATCTATTAGTTTTCTATAGCTGCTGTAACAAATTACCACAAACTTAAAGGCTTAAGACAACCTTCATTTCTTTATCTTACAGTTCTGTAAGTTAGAAGTCCAACACAGGTCTCACTGGGCTAATAAAATCAAGGTGTCAGCAGGGCTGCTGCATTCCTTTCTGGAGGCTGTAGGAGTGAATCCACTTCCTTGCCGTTTCCACCCAAGACAAAAGTCCTTGACTCATAGCACCCCCTTTCCCATCTCCAAATCCAGCAATACTGTGACTCTCTGACCCGGCTCCCGCCAACACATCTCTTCGCCTACCCTTTTCTCCCACCTCCACTTTTAAGGACCCTTATCCTTATATTGGACCCACCAGGATAATCTAGGATACTCTCCCTAGCAGCTAATCAGCAACTTTAATTCCCTTCCGCTGTGTAATGTAATATATTCACAGGTCTTGGGAATCAGGTTGGGGATATCTTGGGGGGGGGGTATTCTGCCTACTACATTTACCAATTGCTTAAAATGAACTAGAAACCAACCAGAATTCAAGGCAGCCTAATAAGACTCAGAGGGAAGTATTAACAGCAAAACAAACAAAAAACCCTCAATCAACGGCTGACTAATCCATTTTTAATTTTTCCAATATTTAGTGAAGCTGGCCATCTAAGTGAAGATTTTCTATTTCTTTCTTGTGGCCAACACTGTTCACTGGCTATTTCCAACCCCTTCTTCCTTGTCTGCCGCTATTATTTGAGCTGTAAAAGCTAAATACTCACTTTCCTGGACTCCTACAGATAGTCATATAACACAGCTGTGCCAAATGAAATCTAAAAATTGCCTAGGGAAAAGCTATTGCATACCTGATAAAGAGGCAGATGGTGCTGCCCTCCCTGGCCCCCTTCCCGATACCCCTCCCACCTGGAATGGTGCACTGCGGTAATTCAGGCATCTATTTTGCAATAATGTGAGAATGCCCACAAGAATTCAAGAGACGCCAGCCCTTCCATTGTCAAACTACTGAACCAACACAAGCTACTCTACGTCTATGTTGTTTCAGTGACGATTTACATCTGCCTTTCTGTTACTTTCAGCTGAAAGTTCAAGAAATTGAAACTATATTCAACACAACTGCTAGGTAAACATAAGCACCCTCCTCCAAAATTTATTTTGTTTTACAAAAACCATATTCACTTAAATGAGTTATAATTAAAAAGGCAATTATTTTTTAAATAACATGTGTTATATATTTTAGAACTCTAAATTATACACACTCATTCTAGAACATTTGGAAATTATCAAAAGTTTAAAGAAAATAAATAGCCACAATCCCAAATATCCAGAAATAACCTCCTGGTAATATATCAGTGTATTTCCATCCATATATTTTTATGTACATACATAAAATATTTTTTAAAGTGAGACTATATGGAATAAAGTACATAGACTCGAATCCAACTCTCATTTAGCACTTTACTGAGGACTTTTCCACATCATTAAAGATGTTTCAAAAATATATTCAAAAAATTAAAAATCAGATTATGAAATAATTANGAAAATAAATAGCCACAATCCCAAATATCCAGAAATAACCTCCTGGTAATATATCAGTGTATTTCCATCCATATATTTTTATGTACATACATAAAATATTTTTTAAAGTGAGACTATATGGAATAAAGTACATAGACTCGAATCCAACTCTCATTTAGCACTTTACTGAGGACTTTTCCACATCATTAAAGATGTTTCAAAAATATATTCAAAAAATTAAAAATCAGATTATGAAATAATAATTTTTAACAATGGCAGACATTTAAGTTGTTTGATCCCTTTTGCCAGTGTAAACAGTGTTGCAGTGAGCACTACTGTATGCAAGTCTTTCTGCGCTCTCTCTGATTATTTTCTGAGCATTGTTACACAGATGTGGCATCACTGGGTCAAAGGGATAAACCCTTTCAAACATTCAACAAAAGCTGCCAAATTTGCTTTCTAGAAAAACTGAATCAATTTATTATCCTACTTTCTTTCTATAAACAAAATATCAGTCTCCCTTATAAGTACTGACTGCCTTTTTTCTTTTTTTGCCAATTTGATGAGTAAAAATATCATAACTTATTCTCTAATTAATTTATATTTTCTGGTTACTAGTGAAAATGACTACATAAAGATATTTTGATCCTTTATATGGGTTATTTTATTAATTATCACTTGGAATTTTTTGAAATATGAGAATTCTTTCTATTATAAATATTTTGATGTACTTATATTTTATTTCAGTGTATCACTTAATTTTTTAGTTTTGTTTATATATATTTTTATAAACATTTAAAATGTAATCATATCTATTAGCATTATCCTTTGTGAGGTCTTTCTTTGTGTAATCATACAGGATGGTTTTTACATAATGACACCACATTTCAGAAAAGAATGTTTTAAGATATTATATTCTTTTAAATTTCTATTGACTTTCTTATAGTCAAACAAGTAAAATTAATATCAAAAGAACAAATATTCCACTAAATATATGAGTACCCCACCCTAGGTTTTGACCGTTCGCATACCTGCTTGTGACAATGATGACATCCTCAGAGATGTTAGCCATTTCTTTGATGGTAAGGTAGCACATTCTTCTCAATGTTTGCTGAAATTATTTATAAAAGGCAACAGGTTATTCCTAAGAAAATGGTTTTCTAAACTGTTTGAAGTGAGGACCCCAAGTAGATATATTTAGAAAGTTATTCTTCAAAAGATTCTCATCCATCCAAAAAAGTCCTTTCAAGAATATTTGGATGAGAAAATAAATATTCAGAATACAACTATTTCTTAAACACAAGTAATTGCTGCACTGACACCGGAAAGTATCTAGATGAAAACTCAAAATTTCAGTTAATTATACAGGTTTTTATGCAAAGAGATCCAAAGTTGTGAGTCCAAAGACTTAAGATTTTCTTTTTTTGTTGTTGTTGACTCTATTACAGTACCCCCATTTCTCCTCCCCCAGTTTTGCCTTCCTCCCCCCTGCCCCCGCCCAGGCCTTCACGGTATTACTGTCAGTGCCCATAGGCTATGCACATAGGCGTATTTTTCCGCTGATCTCTTCCTGTTTTCCCCACTCCTCTCCTCTGAGCTCTGTCAGTCAGTTCCATGCATCCATACCCTATTTTGTTCGTCAGTTTATTTTGTTCTTTAGATTCCACATAAAAGTGAGATCATGTGATATTTGTCTTTCTCTAACTGGCTTATTTCGCTTGTTAAAGGCTTGCCCTGGAAACTGTATTTTTTGAATTCTTGAAAAAAATATATGTGGATACAGGCAGACTGCATTTTCCTCAGTTCGGCACATACAGATGTTTTTCCTTAAAATATTTGTGGTTATATAACCAACTCCCATTTTCAATGATCCAGATCTCTAGATACCTGGATCTAAAATAAGTGTTAAGCTAATAAGTGTGAAGCTAAATAAGTGCCCCTCCTCCTCACCTGGATCTCTGATTTATTCATACACTATGGGCACTGGTTCCGCCAGCCTGTCTAGCCTCACTGTCTACCAAGTAACTTCAAATGACATATAAGTAGTGAAACCAAACACATCAGACCCAGCTCCAGAGTCCAAGCTGTAGACAGAATCCAGTAGAGACTACTGAGCCCATCGAGAAAAGGGAACAAGGGACTGAGGATTCTCATGGGGATTAAACACACACAAAACATCACCCCTAGAAAGAGAAAGCCAGTACAGGGCAAATGAACGGGGCAGATACACCCACATGAAACTACGATGAGAAGAAAACAGAAAACAAGAATAAAAACTTCAGAGCTGAAGATGATTTGCCCCTCCCAAATAAAAACCCACCATGTAGCAGAATAAAACTGAAGATATAAAATATTAAAACCACACTTCAGACGCCACCTCGCACTTGCCAAAATGACTAAAAATTTTAAAAGTGACAATACAAAGTGTTAACAAAGATGGGCTCATAACTATTAAAAAATATCACCTAAACCAATACACAGAGATGCTAAATAAAACAGAAACAAAAATTTAAGTATGTAGTCAAGGACAAAACGAAGGGCAATTTATAGGTGCCAAAAATGGAGAAACAAACCACCGCTAGCTAGAGAAGGAGGAAGGAGGAAATCTAAAACATCTCGGAAGGATGGAATTCTAAAAGGTATGTTCTTCAGACACAGGGAAAATTATTCTAGATAATATCAGAAATATAGCAAGGAACAAAGAGTAAAAAGAGAAAGTGGTAAACAGTAACAAGACAGTGTGGTATCGGCAAAAGAACAGACAGACAGAGAACAGACCACCCAGAAATACGCCCACATAAATATAGCAACTGATCTTTGACTTAAGAGAAAAGGCCATGCAATGGCACAAAGACAGTCTCTTCAACAAATGGTACTAGAACAACTGGACATCCACATGAAAAATATAAATCTAGACACAGACCTTACAACCTTCACAAAAATGAACTCAAAATGGATCACAGACCTCAACATAAAATGCAAAACTGTAAAAGTCCTAGAAGAAAACCTAGATAACCCTGGGTATGGTGGTGACTTTTTACATACAATACCAAAGGTATGATCATAATAGAAATAATTGATAAGTTGGCCTTCATTAAAATGAAAAATTTTTCTGCAAAGGACAATGTCAAGAGGATGAACAAGCCACAGACTGGGAGAAAATACTTTCAGAACACATATCTGAGAAAGGACTGTTATCCAAAATATACAAAAAAATCTCTTACAAGTAAAAAATAAGAAAAACAACCTGACTTAAAAATGGGCCAAAGACCTTAACACACACCTCACTTAAGAAGATATACAGATGGTAAGTATAAAAAAAAGATGCTCCACATCATATGCCATCGGGGAAAGGCAAATGAAAACAACAAGATACCACTATACTCCTAACAGAACGGCTACAATCCAAAACACTGACACCACCAAATGCTGATGAGGATGTGGACCACCAAGAACTCTCATTTGTTGTTGGCGGACATAAAAATGGCACCGTCGCTTTGGAAGATGTTTTGGTGATTTCTTTCAAACTAAACATACTATTACCATGCAGTCCAGCAATAGTGCCCCTTGGTATTTACCCAAAGGAGCTGAAAACTTATGTCCACACAAAAACCTGCACACGGATGTCTACAGCAGCTTTATTCTTAACTGCCAAACGTTGGAGGGAACCAAGATGTCCTTTAGTAGCTGAATGGATAAACTGTGGCATATCCAGAAAACAGAATATGATTCAGCACTAAAAATAAATGAGCTATCAAGCCATGAAGAGACATGGAGGAAACTTAAATGCATATTAACTAACAGCTGAAAGGAGCCAATCTGAAAAGGCCATATGTTGTATGAGTCCAACTACATGGCATTCAAGAAAAGGCAAAACTATGGAGACAGTAAAAAGATCCATAGTTGCCAGGGGCTGGGGAAGAGGAGATGGAGTTAGGGGGGAGCTAGAGTGCAAAGGATTTTTCGGGCAGTGAAAATAGTCTGTGTAATATTTTAATAATGGATGCATGTCACTGTACATTCGTCAAAACCCATAGATGTACAAACACCAAGACTGAACACCAACATAAGCTATGGACTCTGGATGACTATAAAGTATCAATAATGTAGGTTCATCAGTTGCAACAAATGTACCAGTTTGGGGCATGCTGATATTGGGGAGGCTGTGCATGTGAGGGGACAGAGAGTATATGGAAAATCTCTGTACCTTCCTCTTAATTTTGCTGTGAACCTAAAACTGTTTTTAAAAAAATCCTGTTTTAGAAAGTGGTAAAGATGAATAAATCTGCATGAACAACAAAAACCGATGTTATGATGTATAAATATGTTTATATGCTCACATACATATAAGTAATAAGTAACCTAAGGTTCTCAAATGTTCATGAACAGGAAAAAGATAAAGGTGAATATTAGATTTTGATGAGTCAAAAATTCACGTTGCAATTTCTAGGGTAACCACTAACAGAACTTTCAAACTATTATCCCACATGTTGTTGCTGCTGCTCTGTTTATTTTTATTCAGTCTTTTTTCTGTTTCATTTTGGAAAGTTTCTATCTTCAAATTCACTGATTTTGCCCTAGGTGGTTTTGCCCAGTGGTTAGAGAGTCAGCCCTCAAACTGAAGGGTCCGGGTTCGATTCCGGCCAAGGGCACATACCTCTCCCCAGCCCCAGTAGGGACGCATGCAGGAGGCAACCAATCAATGTGTCTCTCTCACATCAATGTCTCTCTCTCTTTCTCTCTTTCTTTCCCTTCTACTCTCTGAAAAGCAATGGAAAAAATATCCTCGAGTGAGGATTAAAAAAAAAAATTTACTGATTTTTTTCCCCCTGCAGTCATTAATCTGCTGTTAACCCCATGCGGTGTATTTTTCATGACAGATAGATATATAGATAGATCGTTTTTTTTAATTTCTGTATCTCTCTAGATGTCTTATTTTGCTCCTCATTCTTGTCGTGTCTTTCTATGCATTAAGCATCTAGACCACATCTATAGTGGCTGTTTTAATGTCATTATCTGCTCATCCATCATCTTTATCATTTCTGGGATCGTGTCTGTTGATGCATTTTTCTCCTGACTATGGATAATATTTTATTGCATGCTGTACATTGTGAAGTTTATATTGTTAGGCGCTGGATTTTGTTGCATTTTTTAACATAGCATTGTATGTATTGTGTACTCTGTCATAAAATTAAGTTACCTTTGATCTGTTTTTCACTCTTCAGGCTCACTTTTAAGCATTTTACAGCTTTAGTCTAAGGCTAATCTATTCTCCATTACTGAGGTGATACCTCACTGAGAACTATACCAGATGACAAAGTCTTAACACTCTCGCCAGTGGGAATATATACTATTCTCAGCCTGGTTTTCTGGTGATTCTTTTTTTTTTTAATCCTCATTTGAGGATATTTTTTCCATTGCTTTTCAGAGAGAGTGGAAGGGGAAGGGAGGGAGGGGGGAAGAGAGAGAGTGAGAGAGACAGAGAGAAACATCAATGTGGGAGGGATACATCGATTGGCTGCCTCCTGCACTAACCCCGACTGGGGCCGGGGATTGAGCCTGCAACCAAGGTACATGCCCTTGGCAGGAATAAAACCCAGGACCCTTTAGTCCATGGGCCGATGTTCTAACCACTGAGCCAAACAGGCTAGGGCTCTGGTAATTCTTTCTTTGGCCTGGTGCAGTTTCCTTTCACATATGCATGGATCCGTTCTTATCCAAAGTCAAGGGGGGCCCTCAGTAGATTGCTGGAACTACCTCCTACCTTTCTTTCTTCTCTCCCCTTCTCTCCCCCTCACTTCCTCTCTTCCTACCTCCTTCTTCTTTTACTCTGCCCTTCAAATTCAAGCTTTCTTAGCCTCCCCAATTCCACACGTTTTCTCAACTTAGAAAGATAACTAGGTTCCTTTTCAGTATGCCCTTCCTGACCAGAGGCCTGTACTCTGCCTCTGGGCAATGAGCTACTGTAGTCCTACGGCACACCTTTTCTTTTTCTTCAGGTTGCAGTCCCGGGATACCTAGTAATCCTGTGTAATATATTTTGTTTGATTTTCTAGCTATTAATGGTAGCAGGGTAAATCTAGCCCTTTTATCATGGCTGGAAGCAGAACA